TAATAGAAAACAAAAGCCATATCGGCTTTTGCTAAATAGTATATTACAATTTAATAAATAACAAACAATATTAATAACAGTAGTTTACAATAATATATATATAATTATATAATAAGATAGCAAAAGTAATAATAATAAAATCTAATATTTAGATTAGAATCAAGATTTGCATAATAAGATATTAATATATTAAAAATATACTATTAATTATTATATATTAGTATATAACAAAAGAAATTAATAGCTTGTTTTAATAAAATATAATATCTAGATTAGCTTTTGCTAGAAATTATATATTACGTTATATCAAATAGAATTTTAAATTTATTTTAAAATAATCATGGTTTGGTGTTATTGTTCTATTTGTGGTAAAAGTAGAAAAATTGTTAGTATTCATACAGAAAGATTACATAGACAAGAAGAATTTACAAAAACAGCTTCTTCTACTAATACTAGTCAAAAACTTGAAGAATCATTATTAGTTACTAGCCAAAGTTTTGATATTTTAACTTCATCTGCAAAGGATTTAACTACATCATTTTCAGCTAGTAATATTTTATTAAACCTAGAACAGGAAAGACAAAATATTGAACAAAGTGTTGAACAAAGAATTGAAGAAATAGAAAAAGAAATAGAACAAGAACAATTAGAAAATTATTCTAGAAAAAAGTTTAAAGAAACAAATTTAAATTATAGTTCATTTGAAGATAGTTCATCTGAAGATAATGAATCTGAACAATTAAAAAATATATTTACTATAGAAGATACTGGATTATTTGATAAAATAGAATTAGAAAATAGTAATATTGAAGAAGAAATAATTTTAGATTCTAGAAATACTGAAGCATCTACTCAACCTAGTCAAAATATAACCTATATTTTATAGCATCAAATACTTTTAAAGATTCTTTTAATTTAACAATTCAATGGGTTTATTATGGATTTTTTCTTTTCAACAAGCTTTTACTTTACTATATATAGCAATTATAGCTTTGTTAATATTTATCAAAGCTTTGGTATTTGGTAATAATTCGGATTTTTCAGAAACACTATATAAAGCTAAAGATACTATATCATTTAAAAAAACAATTATGCAATTTGTTGTATGTGAAAAGTATTATTTTTTAACTAATCTAGAAATTATTTCTAATAATTCACAACAAGCAAGATGTAGTAAATGTGAGACATTATTAAAAAAACCTATTAAAACAAGTAAAGGAAAATTAATTTATAAACTAATTAAAATATATCTCTATCAATCAATTTTAAGTCGATTAGCTACTTTATTACAATGGTCTGGATTTGAAGAACAATTAGAATCTTGTTATGAAAGAATAAATATTTCAACTAATATTTTTACTGATATTTACAATGGACAAATTTGGAAAACTTTTAAAAATAGTCAAAATAAATATTTTTTTCAAAAATTTTCATACAAAACCAATATTGGTTTTGCAATTAATATTGATTGGTTTAAAGTTACAAAATATACAGTTTATTCAGTTGCTGATGTTTATTTAACTATTTTAAATTTACCTTATCATCTTAGATATAAAAACAAAATACAATTTTTGTTAGTCTTATTCCTGAACCAAAAGAACCACCACTTGAAAAAATTAATTTATATTTGGATCTATTAGTTGAAGAACTTAAACAATTATGGGTTGGACAATCATTCGCAACTATAAAATATCTAGCTGGAAGTATGTATTATAGAGCATTAATTTTAGTTTCATGTGATACACTAGCAAGAAATAAAATCTGTGGATTTTCTAGTCATTCTTCTAAATATGCATGCTTTAAATGCAAAAAAAATTTTAAAGCTAATAATATATTAGATCAATTCAATCTTAATAATTATCCATCACGAACTATAGAAGAACATAAAACAATAGCTGAAAAATGGAAATATTCTACACCTAGTAAATGAAAACAGTTATTTGATTAATATAGTATTCGATAGTCAACTTTGTTACAATTACTATATTTTGATTCTATTATATTTTTAGTATTTGATCCAATGCATAATATTTTTCTTGGAACTGCCTATAAAATGATAAAAATTTGAACATTAGAAACTGATTTAATTTCAAAAATCAACTTATTTATATTCAAAATATTGTTAATAATAGTCTACCACCTTCTAATATTAGTCGAATTCCATATAAAATAGCATCTAGTTTTTCTGGTTTTACAGCTGATCAGTAGAAATCATGGATTTTAATATATTTAACAATGGCTTTAAACGATATTTTACCAATACAAGATCAAAAAGTATGGGCATATTTTGCAAATGCAGTATCAATTATGTCACAAAGAATTGTTACAATTGAAGAAATTAATCATAGACATAATTTATTAGTAAAATTTTTAACAGAATTTCAAAAATTATATAGTTCTTATATGTTAATACTTAATATGCATTATTATTTACATTTAAAAGATGATATGCTAAATTATGGTTCTTGGTATAGTTATTGGTATTATGCTTATGAAAGATTAAAT